ACAAAAATTCGCTTCCATTCCGTTCCGCCGCAATATAAATTGAGCCTTATTTTCAACAAATAAAATGACTTAAATCAAAAATACCCCACATTTTAACCCAAGACGGTAAAATCTTACATTAAGATTGTAATGGACTTATTAATAGCAGAAAGTTGCTTTGATATAACGGAACCAAAAGTCATAATTTAAGAAATTTGGTTTCAGAATCAAATCAAACTTCTCTTAAACATAGAAAACATAAATCTTCAGTTAAATAATTATCTCTCAATTTTCATTCTTTTTTTTTCAAGTCAAAATCAGAAATTTCTAGTAACAAATAAATATTTTCTTGAATCTAGAGTAGCTTTATGACTTAAATAAATTAATTTGCTCTTGGATTAAATATTTCTGTCTTAGAACTAAAATACACTTTTGAGACGTTTTTTTACTATTATCAAGTAATTATTCTCTAGCGTCTATAGGGAGAGGATCGTTTTCTTGGATTTAATAAAATTGTCTTCGTACAAAGAAATTTGTCTAGTTTTAAGTAATCTGTTTTTACCGTGTAGGCATTTGTTTTTCGAAATTCTAAATTTTTAAAATGAACTCTAATACGATCGTCACTAATAGGATCGCTGTCCAGCACAACTTCTACCTCTGGCAAACTCACATCAAAACTCAAAGTAGTTTCGAATTGACGATATAAGTAAACACTTTTATTTTCGTTTTATTAAAACTTTTTAATCAGCTACCTTGTAATGCAAGTTATGAATATAAAAACTTATAGACGCGACTCGCATTTTATTATATTTTTGTCGATAATGAATTGAGATTTGACCTCACTATTTTAATCTGTCCAAACGGTCATCAAAGCGTGCTGGTACTGTAGTTATAACTCACCATATAAGAAAACTTCCATCAACAGGATGTATGGAAAACAACAAATCCGGACTTTGATGCCAATCACGTAAGAGCGACTCTATCTTAGCATCGAGTGAATCTGGCAGATGGGTACAGGTGACGTCAGTCGCTATTGAGTTTATTGACGTCGTGTTCGACAGACTCGGGTGACTGTGGTTGCCATTACCTGTGGACAGCAAGCTATATCAGTTTTTTTGTAACTATGACACTCAAAGATGTTTTGCGTATGAATGTTATGTACTGTCAGGGTTTATTCGTCTAAGATTAAAGTCAATGACCGAACTTAAATCTGTAAGCGTCCATTTACTTTGAATACCAGAGTAAAGAAATTAAATCCGTAGGGACTACACAGATCACCTACACCGGGATCAATTTACAAAAATACGCTCCCTAAATTGGTTTATCTAACGGCCAGACCAATATCCGATAAGTAGCTGAATTCGTTAATTTGGTTGCAAATAGTGTCGACTATATTATATCGATAAATCGATCGACGACTAAGTTGTTTTGTTTAATAAATATATTCTGTAATTATTTAAGAATAAGGTCTAGAAGAATTGATTCAGGGAAACTACATGGTAATGAATTTAAGAGCCATGTAAGAAGACCATGAAAGTAGAGTGTATAGAGGTGTTTCATGTTACCTGGTTGTTCGTCACTGTTACTATTATCCTCAGACAGCACTTTAGTAAGGTGATGGCTCAGCCGTCTATGTCCTGAATGCTCTATTGCAGCATGAAATAGGCAAGAAGCGTTACGAAGCGTAGCCTAGGTAATTAGTTTATTAGTTAGGCTTATGCTTAACTGCTTACATTAGTTTGCTGTAGCTTTCACTTGACAAGTTAATGGAGAATATTATAGGCTGAACCTTGAAGTTGGTTACTTGACGAAATTATTATTTTCAGATAGTTCTTGAAAACGTGAAAAATATTTAACATAGTTATTGAGTAATTTACAGGTTAGTTTTCTCGACCTAATTTTGGTGGCAATTATTGTTATACAAGTATTCGGGTATAAATATATGTTATACAAGTATATTGTCGTGAAATCTTAAATAATATTTCAAATTACAACACCCAAGTATTAAAACAATTGTTATTATCATTAGGGCGGCTTCATTCGGGGCATATGCAGCCCCTCATCACTGCGACTATCAACTGATCTATTGTGATCACCACTAACTACAGTTCGGAGCCAAGGCCGACAGCATTGAAGAACTGAAGGACTTTTCTGGCTACGACAGATTTTATGTCCTCTGGTTGTGGCAAGTGTCTTCCCAGTATGGAGCTTCGTACGCCCATCAGCGGGTAACATTGGGTGAGAAAAAGAACGGGAGTTTCGTCCGCTTCATGGCACAATCTACACTCTCTCTGCACAATATTTGACAGGTGCTTGTTCAAGCCACAATACTTAATGATAATATTCTAGAATACTTAAATAATAAAAATTGCCACCGAAATTAGATAGAGAAAACTGACTGCAAATTACCCAACTAAACTGAATCCAATATATTAAAAGTTTTCGGAAACACTCACAAAATTGTCAAGCTAAACAACTTCAAGGACAACGTTAACTACGGTTATGTGTTATTCAATAACTACAAACAATACAATGTATATTTAGTTAAATATGATGATAGTTTTAAAGCATTTTTTTATTCTCATAGTTACATACTCGATTCATTCTCTCCTTCCGGATGTATCATATGGTCCGAACCGGATCCACCTTCTTCATTTTCCTCTTTGTCTAATATCTGAAATATTATTACTATTGTTACAAAGATCGAAAAATACAAAGAAAAATTTTTAAAAACCAGCAGTCACAGCGGGGCCACCGCTCTTATCAACTTTTTTTTTATATAATATCAAGTGACGGAACGAACAAGTCGTGCGCCTGATGGTAACCTACACGCCTGTCCATAACGGTTGCAATGCCACTCAGAGCCTTAAATCGCAAAGATCTGAGGGGCACTGCCACTGCGCCCATCACCCTGAGACATAAGTTGACAAGTCCCATATATGTGCCTGTAATTTCACTAGCAGCCTTACCCGTCAAAACTGGAACTTAGTAATAATGTTCACATTACTGCTTGTCGGTAGAAATAGGTAAGGTGGCAGTACTTCCCTGGACAAACTCTTTCAGAAGGATCTCTACTGCTACTAAACTAAGCTATAGACTGAGTCAGCACGAATTACGAATTTCTCTAAGTGCTTGCAGACCTTCATAGTGGGTTGTGACGTCAGCGCCACTTGTGAAAAATGTATAATGATAATTGTGTGGACGGAATTGACTAACAACTGATAAAATGAATTAATGAATGAACCTGTTGCATTGTATAAATAACAACGACCACACAGAAACGTAAGGCGGCTTTACTGCTTAGTAGCAATATCTTCTAGTCAACTTACAAATAGAAAATTATGATGTCGTTGCGTTTGCGACCCACAATTTTCTTTAAATATAATTTCTCATCATAATTTTCCGTTTTGCCAGAATTGGTTTTTCTTCAGTTTCTGCCATCGTCATATTTCTTCCCATAACAAAAGAAATAAGTAACACACATTGGCCTACTAACAAATGGACGTCGGGTTCGCGTTAAAAAGTGTTCGCACCTATAGGGCATTAAAATCGCATACAGAGCGTCAATCGCGCAACTGTCTTCGTATGTTCGACAGACAGCGCGGCTGTCAATCATGCAGTACTATATAATAATAACTTGTAAAAATTATTGCAGTAAAGTGTAAAAACAGGATTTTGTATCATATTTTCACTAAACAAATATATTGTGTTATCACAGTTATCATTTAAAAGTGATATTTTGTACAGTTGTATAGTATTTAATTTATATATAAATGAATCGTAAATATAAATTACAAAAGCAAATAAAATAACCAAATAACTAACTGTGTTTTTTCTATAGATTGCATTGCTAATTTTGACTTTGTGAAATGCATCAAAATTACTTGAAAGCGTAACGGTTTAATTATAAATCGGTTTTCGGAATAACGGATATTTGAATTTAGTTGGAATATCGGTACATTTCTTATAGTACACGCTTATTTTCACATATAATATCACATACACAGTATAAAGTAGCAATGTTTATTTAATCAATTTGTTTATTATCCAATCAATAATAAATGTTCCTCAAGGACATTGATTTTTAGAATTCTAGTCAATCGAATGACATCATTCGAACATCATTCGATTGTGCGACTTAAATTAATGTACTTAATAAAGTTGCATTCGACAAAACTACCAAATATCAATCGAAACAGCAACAAACGGTTTCGAATTGGAGTAGTTTTTCGTAAGCATAATTTTATTATAAGAACATTTAAAAAAATGTTTTTGCTTCAATGAGTAAGGACTTAATGTCATGACTTGGGCCTTTTCAAGGCGAGAGTGAATGCCTATTTATTCTACGATGAAACATGCACACCTAACTAATGCCATAACAATCTCCATCATCGACCTCATCTTCACTATTCATCAGGTTTGATGCGAGGTCAAATGCGTATTTATATTTCTTAAAAAAAACTTACTTTTGCGTAAAAAATCGAACTCAAGATTTATCTTTATATTATTATAAAACCATACTTGACAACTAGTACGAACATGCAGAGCCTACCTTCTTAGTAAGATCGTGTAATATTGCTTCGGCTTGACTGGTGAAGTGCATTTCTTTATTATGCAGCCAGTGTAAGATGAACCGCCCGCCGCCCGCCAGAGACGGCACTAAAGGGATATCTGTTTCTGCATTTATTGATGCTGCTAAATGGAAGTGTAAACCTGTGAAATGACAAACACGTATAAAGACAAGTTCTTAAGGTATAATAAAACGTATAATTTTTGAACGTCTTTTTTTCAGTCGCGATACGGAGTAAAAGTAAACTATGACTATAGGAAATGAAACTGTTTTTTCGGATTTAAATCGCGTATATTTGTTTTTTCAAACAAACCGAACTATTATTAATTAATAATAAATTGAACTTAATAAAATTCTTTCAATAAAATAATTTGTAAAACTTAATGTAGCGTAAATTATTGTATTGGAAGAAAATGTTTCCTTTGTAAAATTAATAATAAGGTATTTAATTAATAACATTGTAACTATAGTGAAAAATAGGGTGGTTTGCATTAATATTAGACATACTTGATTGAAGACTGTACCACCTCAGTCAACCGTGACCATGAGACCTGTAAAGGGCCCGAAACGTCGGTTTGTTCGAAACCCGGCGAATACAATAACTAATCTATGCTTTATACAAGTTACAGGCACATGGGACTTGTCAACTTATGTCTGAGGGTGACGGGTGCAGTGGCAGTGCCCCTCAGATCTTTGCGATTTAAAACTCTGAGTGGCACTGCAACTGTTATGGACAGGCGTGTAGTTTACAATCAGGCGCACGACTTGTTCGTCGCATCACCTGACATTATAAAAAATCTACTAAATTACATTAAAAAATTGGAACTAATCTAAAAATTTATTTAAAAAAATAATTCTTAATAGTTACAAGAGCTGCTGTTACGGATGACCAAAGTTTGAAAACGATGATGGCGTTTGTACATCACAAATCGTGCTTCGCTTCGCTTCGCTTCGCGCGCTCTGATTAACTGCGACCGCTAGGCGGTTTTCAACGGAATGTCACAGCCCATGCATTTTGATATAAATAGGTAATACCAGTGTTCGGAGTGCTCGGCAACTCATTGCAATTTGTATACCGTCAACTAGGAAAATAATCTAATATAATAAAATTACGATTAAATTAATTATATATTATTAAATTAATTATCAGCTGCATTCCGATTGAATGCTACTATACTAGCAGTCGGCAGTAGTGGTGTATTCACGACGATGTTGACGTAATGACGTGACATAATGCTATTTTGCAATTGCGATGCAACTCGTCTGACTACGTACATGACCACAAGTAGCTTAAGAATATCAATGTTATTGCATCCTTTGAAGTGAATACCGGCACGAATGGGACGAAAAATACAAAAATATCACACAGCCTTTTAGACTTGTGACACTGCTGAATCCGGTGTACATAATATTATAGAATTATGAATGACTAGAATAACTAGAAAAACCAACTAACCTCCAGTGTAGGAAGTGGCGTGGTAAGGGTTATGGAAGTCGTGAGCGCTGTATGTGGAAGGCAGAGTAGGAATGGGCGCGCCCGGCTGCTTCGACGACTGGGCGTTTCGTCGGATGTGGAAACAGGTTCTACAATTGCATTCGTTTTTAACACCCTGCTAGATTACGCGTTGTATTTATTATTTTGAGTAATAGATAACATCACAATGGTTTAATATAAATTATCCACTAAAATGACCAGACGAATTAAACAACCAATATGATTTCGTTATTTTGACACCTTTACGCTATAATATCCTATAGGTATACACATATATTTTTTGGTTGATAATGAGGCTAAGTAATGATTAAAGCCACGAATCTATGTGAACGAATGAGACAGAATCCTCGTTTGTTCCTTTTTACCTTATTCATTCAATGAGGTTTACAGAGTAAAACTAAGCTCAATATAACAAAAAAAATCTCGTGTTCCTTCTTGGTGTTCTTTGTTAACTTGTTAATAAGGGAACGTACAACTGTACTAAATTTATAAAAAAAATCAGCGAATAATTTCTTAGAAACTCACTTCATGTGTTTCAGACGCTGCATAAACCTATGTTTATGTCGGTGAGTGGCTCTCTGTCGGCGAGGAGGAGAACGCGAGTGTGACGTCACAACGCCTCCTCCCCACTCGTCCTCCGGTAGGAGAGTTTCCGCCCATACGCGACAGATGTTGTCTACGCATGACGTCACTAGTACGTTGCCTACGCTGCCCCTGTAAGAATTTATTTAACGAATTCCGTTACAACGCGGCTTATTACAAAGTACATTCTTTCTACTTTCTGTACATAATTTCACCTACAGAATAGAAATGCAATAAATTTCGCAATCTACTGCAAGTTTGATGTCCGTAGGGTTATTGATTTACTTCAACGATTTCACACATTTTAGACGTTTCGGACGCATTGCAACGTCTCGAAGGTCAGTCAGGTAAGTCCCTTCGAGACCATGGACGTTGCAATACGTCTGATAAAATATGTTTTTATAGACTATTAAGTATCAAATTTAAAATCAATTAATCTGTAAAGTCAATTTAAAAAACATGATTTTCAAAATGACTCTAGCTTTAAAGTGCGCTTCTCCGGAGGTTGTAATTCTGGTACAGGTGATGCGCCAGTTTTAAGTCAGGCAATATAATATGCAATTGACTAGCACGTTATTATTATAAATATATTTTTCGCGAGTACTTACTTTGGCATATACTTGCTGGTCTTGCGCCATGAGAGATGAGTAACAGCTCGGGGGTGTGCAACGTAGATGAACGTATAGTTCAGCTCGGGTGACGAGTGCTCCCCGTGCGTTTGGACCAGCACTGGAACATGTTATTTTTATTTATAACAACAATAAGAAAAATATGGACGCCTCACCGTATATGGTAACAGCGACTAATGCATTTTGCTACAAGTTACGGCGAGCTCTTTAGTTTTACTTTTAGAGCCTTGAACACCGCCGTAAAGCTTATCGGTATTTTACAGATATATCACGGAGAGTGTGCGATGGAGTTACACGATTTAATTCCGCCTTCCCCTTTCCATCACGGGGGACTAGGCGTAGGCTTGGGTTCCAACCCTATGTTGTGGATATTCCAAAGATTTACACGAAGCGTTACGCTTCCATATTTACAACTCGGGCCTTTTCAAGGCGGGAGTGAATAGGCCTCATCGTCACTTCCCATCAGGTGAGATGGAGGTGAAAAATGATGAGAGGAAAAGTGATTCAAAGTAATAAACTTTTCAATTTCGATTCGAATATAGTCAAACTGCGCCCAGGGAACCCGTTGCGTAGTAATCATAGCGAGTATTCGTAATAATTGCAGATGCAAGTGAGGGAGACTAGCGTGCGCATATGAGGGTGTGTTCGTTGACAATGCTGCCCAAGGAGGGCGTCATAATCATGGACCAATAACACAAGAGGACTGCTAATCGCACATACACAATATATAGATATAAGACAACGTAGTCGGGTGTTTAGTACCCATTAATACACCAGATGTCGCGACGAGTATTAAATAGCTATTTTTGTAACTAATTTGTTTTATATTGACAAGATGCAATTTATCAAAACTGCTCTAATTACCAGTGATAACATACAAATCAACTAGATGGCACTTATTGCACAGATTTTTATAGATACAATAGCTATTGATAATTAAATACCAAAAATATGTTTAGGTAACCAAGTAACTTTCCTCAAATATTTTATGTCTATAAATAAAATTATACGCAACTATTAATTAGCAATCATATCACAACATATCGAGCCATTACCGCCAACTTAGTGTAAGCGCCAAAAAAATATACAATACAAAGTTTTTAAAATATTTCTACATACAAGTGTGATACTAAATTAAACTTTAATGTACTTAAAAATTAATTTCGTAACGTCGTTGGTGCTTTGATTATTTTTGCCATCTCTATCTAAAGATTTTTGAGCAACGATGCAACACGTTTTTACCACTTTGTTTATAGTATATTATGTAATCTGTGTTTATAGTAAACGACGAATAGTGATGTGTTATGTCGGTTGCGACATCAAGTGGGGTCGTTTACGTTATGATTTTTTAATAATGATTCTGTCGTTTACACTAAAATATAAAAAACAGTTGAGCTGACGATAAACTTAGCTTTTGCTATAATTTCCATTTGATGTAATTTTGGTGGCAAATGTCGACACGTCCTTGTCCGTTATAATTTAAAATATAATTTGCAATAAAAAATGCTGTTTAGGTAAAAATGTCGCTTATGTTATCATAACTTAACATAACACTTAACATAACTGACTTATGTCAGTGGTCATGCCTCGATATTTTTTTTACAAACATATATACCGCAAATGTAAAGGTATGTTTTTAAATACATCATTAAAATATTAACTATTAGTATTTTTAAACGAATGTGTCATTGAGTTATGTAAACAGTATTAGTCTTACCTTTATTTTGGTACCAGATCTTGACGAGGCGGTCGTTAATGCCGGACGTAGCGAACAGCACCCCGTCTGGCGAGAATGCAACGTGGTGCGCCGGTGTCGCTGTTTGACATTGCCATACGCATAGCCAGCCCTGGAAATAAATGAATCGAATAGATAAATGTGCTACACGATCACATAAAGTAGTAGTGGATAAGACTATGTTACCACGACTCTCTCAGCGACTACCCTAAGGAATTCTCCAACTTATCAGTAGATATTAAGTGGAAAATGCCCTTTGCATAGCAGCATTTGCTGCGTACCTTCTACAGGCTTGCATTTTTCAGTTTCGCACCGTTTCTGCTACTCTACTCTAATATGTGGTAACTAGGTATATTCGAAGCAAAACTATTAAAAAGCCTAATTCTATATACGTATATGGCTACTATAATCTCTGAACGTTAAACTACTTCTGTGGCCGAACGGTTACCATGCTTCCACGCAGAGGTCCCAGGGTTAGATTCCCGGGCCAGCAAAGATATTTGTATGGCCTAAATTTATTTTTGTCACGAGTTTCGGTGTAATTTGTGGTTGTTTATGTGTGTGTCCATAGCACGCGCTGTTTGGGTTTCGCTATATGGGTTGGGGTGCGTTATTTATTATTTATAATCTTTTAAAGTAAATAAATGATTTTGACATAGATATATTTAATTGCCGCGTGCATGCAGTGAAGCGTAAACTGATAGATGTTTTAGTTATTTGACATGCCAGGAGGGTTAACTTTTAGTGATTATTTAGCTTGTTTATGATATATGTTTTTTTTTTTTAAATATTTCTTTATGATATTGTTAATTTGCATTAATTATTTAGTTTGCTAAGTTTCTTTTATTGTGTATTTGTTCTACTTAAATTAGCGCTGGTACCTTTAATATATTTACTATACTCTGTTACTATAGGCGAAAACCTGTAATTGGCTATAGTGCGCGCGGAACTAGCTGGCCGCGCCTTAGGTAGGGACAGGGGTGAGGGGGCGGGTTGCTTGCTGCTCGCAACGCACATGAGATTAGACAGTGACGACCAATCTCGAGATATCGTGAACAATAATTGTTCAGTTATTGAAAAGAAAAAATTAAAGCCAATTGAACTTTTACAAGTTTATATTATACCTATCTAATTAATTGCAATGTACAGTCGGCAGCACATCAGGCCGCCACAAACTGTCAGATTTCCTCAATTGATTTTCAACTTAATAGAGTATAAAATTGATTGGATAAATTTGACATTTATGTATTGATGGACTTGCTGTTGTCCGTACATTGCAATTAAAAGTAAAATAAACCAAAAACAAATTAAATGAAATTCTTCCGACATATTTGAATCATTTATGAAATTATTATTAATTAATTAGTGTAACTAACACGACTTTGTATTTATAGATATGAAATTACTCTGACATATTATCCTCTGAATCACTTGATTCTGAATTGTCTGAACTTGAGTCAGAATCATCTTGTAAGTTTATAATGAATTCGTCCATCACAGTATCATATCTCATATCATGATTCCAGTATTCTTGTTCGTTTTTTTGTACGTGGTCGTCGCATTTTTGCCATTGTTCGGCAGAAAATTCAGAAAATAGTCTTGTTAGTATTGTAATTTTCTCGTCCAATGTAGCATTAATGTGATCTCTGGCCAGGCAATTTTTTATATTTGCCCACACAAGCTCGATTGGGTTGAGATCTGGATGATATGGAGGTAGTCTTAGAACAGTATGACCTGCACCTTTCAGAAGTTCATCAATCGTGTATATTTTTTCTGATTGGGTCGTATTAATCAAGCCCAAGAGTTCAGCTTTGACCATCGTGGGAGAAAAGGGCACGTTATGATTTTGCAACCAATTCTGCATATTAATTTTCATACAGGACATAGTCGGTTTCTTCTCAACTTGCACACAGTGGTAAGCTGCATTGTCCATAACTATGACTGAGTTAGGTGGAAGTTTAGGTATTAACTTTCGATCAACCCAGTTGTAAAAATTTGTAGAGTTCATGTCTCCATGATAGTCTCCTGTTTTTGAATCTGATTTAAAAATTAGCAGAGCATCGTCAACTAACCCGTTCCGACTACCAGCGTGAACTATTATTAAACGCCTTCCTTTGCCTATATCTGCATAAACACCAGGCTCCGACGAAGATTGCCAACATTTTTGGACATTATGACTTTGGTTAACGTAAGTTTCGTCCAAAAAGAATATATTTCGTTTGTCTTCTCTGAATTTTCTTATGGCCCTCAAATATTTCACTCGCCATTCAACAATGTTTGGTCTCTCTAATAAAAGGAATCTCTTCGATTTACATTTTTTAAATGAATATCCCAGTTTGTGCAAAAGTTCTCTTAAATAAGTTAATCCGCAATCTAAAATATTATCCTCTTTTAACACAGCATTTAGTTTTCGTAGACTTGGATTTGTTTTCTGTACCGTATAAAACTGATTTATTTTTCTTCTTATCACTCCTAAATCAAAATCATCAACTTGTATTTTCTTTTTTATCTCTTTTGGCCTTCGTGGAGAACAAAATTTTGCTTCCCCTGTATTTTGCAAGGATGTTTTACTTTGAGCAATCACTCTCCTTACACTTCGTTCTGATATCCCGGTTGCTTCTGCCACTAATTTATGAATATTCGCATCAGTTTTATATTCTAAACTATTGACATCGGCTTTCCGTTTTTTAAAAAACGTATGCACTTTAAATATTATTTCCTTAGATTGTCTTTTTATCGGCGGACTCATCTTGACATTGCAATCTCTTGTGCGTTTTGTCTAAACTAGCCAGAACTGTCAACGTGTGTTGCCGCCGCGAAGTCCGGCGCCGAACTGAGTATTCTGAGTAATGACATCAAGTGCCCCCGCCTCCCCGTCCCACCGCTCACATACCTAAGGCGCGGCCAGCTAGTTCCGCGCGCACTATAGTTTGTAGTTTTTGTTGTTTTTTAATATATGTATCATAGCTGTTGGTTTTCCATGAATAAATAAATAAATAAATAAATAAATAAATAAATAAATAAAAGACACTAATCATTATCATCACCGTCAAGTCAATATAAATCCCACTGCTCGGTACGGGTCTCCTCTAAGGAGAGGGTATTTAGTAACAGTAGAATTACTTGTGAAATAGTTCGTCTAGGGAAGTATTACCACTTTACTTGTTTCTGCTGCCAAGCAGTAATGTGAGCGTTACTGCGTTCCGGTTTTGAAAGGTTAATGTGCTGGTGAAATTACAGGAACATGGGTCTTGTCAACTTATGTCTCAGAGTGACAGACGCAGTGGCACTCTGATATTTACGATTTAAAGCTCTTAGTGTCACTGCAACTGCTATAGATAGGCGTGTCGCTTAACACCAGACGCAAGACTTGATCGTCCCGTCAACAGGTATCATAAAAAAAGGTTTAACCCATAGTTCGCCACGTTAGTCGAATGGTTGGGGACTTCACACGCTCTCCAAGGGTTTCCAACCCTCTTCGACATGCATGTTTTATCACCACATTATACTTCTCTTTTTCATAAATAATAATAATAATGAAAACTAGGGAACTCCTTAAGTACCAAAGCAAGCCACACTGGGATCAATCTAGAAAAGGTATTTTGTCAATCTGGGGACCTGTCCTCGTTCTACGTCCGACATTCGTCCGAAACGATTACTGTCAAGTGAGTAATACTCGACCAAATTAAAACGCAATGCCAAGTATGAAGCTTAACATAAATAACATAAATTTTCTTCCGTGGTTATGCCACTAGCCGCCAAGGTAGTCGTCAAAATATCACCTTGCTTAGGAAGCGTGGCATTGACGTTATAGGTATAGCTACTCAATCTTCCACTTATACAAAAGCCATATGTATTGTCTTAACGCTGAAGTCACACATGTTTTCTACATAAATGAGTGGCAGACAAAAGGAAACAACGCCATTTTAACAACTTGAGCCATTGACATTGAATAACATCTAATCGACCTTGAATTTGTTTTAATTAAGACCAACTGAACGCAATGCGAGCTATCTAAATACCTTTAATATGTGAGCAAACAATGATTCATATAGCCAAAATAATAGTGAAGAGGGTTTGTTTTAAATTGGTTTGCGTGTGACTGCTCTCGCCTAATGCATTATACATACTCGTAAGTAACGATGAGCTCACGCGAGTACGTAGAAAATCCGTCTTTAGTCTGCATATACATTGAATTCATAATCGAAAGAATTTATTTGTAGCACAAAATAGTTTATTAGTTTTGGCCACAAAATTGTTTATTATCGAAGTTTTTATATTGTTTTTCTATTTATATTATTAGTATTATCGAGTGTTACGTTTACCTAAGAGGGAGGTGTAAAATTTGTGCTGTCCCTTTCACACTAAGGGAATATGAATGCATTGATATGACAAATATTGACTTTCAAGTGCTTTATTAATAATAGGTTCAACGTGCGAGAGATATGTGTAATCCCGAAGATATATATGCAAAATGGATTTGACTGCGATTTATCCACATTTGTGGATCATGAGTTTGTAACGTATCACTTGGAAATCAATATCGAAAGAAAGATAGAGAAAAACAACGTGGCTGCTTATCTCAATGTCTCAAACAAGGGAACTCCCTGTACTATGGCCCCATAGTATTGAACATAACTCCGCGCCACTAACACAGACCAGAATTAATTTAGAAAATTTCAACTTGCAAATTGGTCTTACCGGGAATCGAACCAGTTACCTCCTTACTCATAGTATTAACCACCGAGCCATCAATATCGTCCGAGATACTTTCCATAAGTTGGGCCGTATTACGGTTACGGTCGTGAAACATAGTAAAAGCGTGTAAAAACGCAAATAAACAAATTCAGAGTTTTGGTTCACTGCAAATAAATATTTTACACAGTTATAGAATGGAAACGGCGATATGAGGCACATTGTTGTGAGCACATTGTCGTTATCTTATCGTGCGCAATCTCGCTATAGCATACTTTGATAGCTACAGAATAAAGATGCGTTGTTTATTACGAAAATATATTTAATATTCAGCTGATATGTACGTGATTACTTATTTTTTTTATTAGAGATAACGTCACATTGGTTCACAATGATACTTAACGATCAACAAATTTGTGCCTTTCTTCACTTAGCCTCGATTTCCATTGCCGCGGAACTTAGTGAAGAACAAATTTTTGTAACAAAATTGTACATAATGTCCATTTTGTAACGTACAAATAGCTGCGAGATCTCCAGATCTGCGCGAGAATTCTCCGGAAGGCAAGATACTTTGTACCTTACACATAAAGTGCTGTGCTATGGTTCCAAAAATTGGTTTTCATTCCGTTCCATAATTAGTATTCATCTAATATTACATAGGTACTAGAAGTCCGAAGAAGTTCGACACGCCTGTCACTAAGAAATTTAACTCGCAAAGATCTGCGGGGTACGTTCACAGTGCCCGTCAACCTGAGACATAAGTTGACAAGTCCCATGTGCCTGCAATTTCACCAGCATCCTTACCCTTTAAAACCGGAACGCAATCAATATAATTAACACATTACTGCTTGGCGTCAGCAATAGGTAGCCGAGACCTCGACTACATGAAGTTGATATCTACTTCACCAGACTTTCCGCATTAACTGCATGAAGTTGATAACGACTTCACCAGGCTTTACGCATTAACTGCATGAAATTGATAACGAATTCACCAGACTTTATGCATTAACTGCATGAAGTTGATAACGACTTCACCAGACTGAGACTTCAACTTCAAACATCGTGTCGATGTGAACGATAGTCCGAGAAGCAAACGTAGTAATTGATATTCTTGCGAGGATAAATAATTTTTTTGCTTTTAATATATTGTTTTATTTATCAAAAGTGACAATTTTTTTTATTTGATTCACAAAACTGGATACAATTTTAAAATAAGGTGAAAGCGTTTGATACACATTATGATATGTAAAGAATGTACCGTACTTGATGTGAACACAACAATCAAATTTCGTTAACAAAAAGTGCATAAATGACACTAATAAGAAATTTCCATATTACTGTAGAGAAGCAAAACCTATCGCAAAGTCAAGGTAATCGACATTCTAAAGTACTTATAAAATTTGTTTTCATCTTGTCTTAATTTCGGGTACTATACATAATATACACTGCACACAATCTCGACTGCATGCAGTCGTCTGCATGGAGGTGTATTATATGGACTTCGCGCATGCAGTTCGTTTAGTAGCAGCCTTACGTCGATTGGCAAATCCTTTTACACGATACAGTAAGAACAAGTTACGGTAATCAAGACGGGCGACTTATCCATAGTGTCCCGTAAACGTATACGGCTTTCCGTATTCAGTACGTTCCCCAAGGAGAGATGAGTAAGGTACGCTTTTCTAAGCACCTGAAACTCAAATATAGCAAACAGTACGTCTCCTCGAAGCTCGAAGAAGAATTAGATACGCCTTTCCAACTACCGTACAAGTTTATTCCATTAAAAATCGTATTGAGTACACTAGGGAATGAATTAGTACGCTTTTTGGAAGAAACGCTGATAAGAAAGCGTATTTGATTCGTCTAGAGTTTTCATTCAAGGGTTTTCATTAAAACAAAAAAAAATTGCTTTTGTGCTCTAAATTGGTTTTTCGCCATTTTCAAATATGGCTTTTTTAATAATATGAATTATATTATAATTACCAGCCCGTTGCGCCAAGTACCAAGTATATTATAATTAATATTATTTTTTAAAGTTTTTATATCTTTTTGGCGGCAGATGGAAATTTGCTCTAATTCAGTTGCAAATCGGCATGGGGGGATCTCTATGGGTACTTAATTAATAATTTGCAGTCCTAATTTACTTTTTGCCATTTATCAATATGGCCAGTCTTAAAGAGCTATGGTAATTTTTTTAAAGTCATAAGTGCCGAGGCCGTAGGCCGAGGTGTAGCGGAGGGCGAAGCCCGTAGCGTCCGCACGCCACCTCACGTAGGTAGTATACGGAGACTCTATTACGGTACAAGATTTCACAATTGTTCAAAATGTAAGGCGTACTTCCCGATGTAGTGGAAATAAGATACTTATAGCGTTGTTGTATCTCGACCGTCTCTCCGTTAGATTCTTTTTTCTTGGAAACTATGCTAAAAATAAAAGTAGGGAAAAAATGCCAGACAATCACTACAAATTTCTGGTTTCAAACTAAGGAATTTCCTGTACTATAAGTACCAGAGTAACGATAATTCTGACGGCAATACCCAGAATATCCTTTTTTTTTTTTTTTTTTTTTTTTTTTTTTATCTATAATATCCTGACCAGAACCAATTTAAAAATGTTTTTTGGCTCAAATCAGGGATCGAATCTAGAATCTCCTCATCAAGCGCCCATAGTACTAATCACTGTGCCACCGAAGTACGTTAGCACACCCCGTAATCTGAAACCGACCACGCGCCGCAGGCCGAGCCTGACCCAACTGTAGGTGGGGTATAGGGCTCGTACTATGTATACTACACTATAATAAAGTATTCGTAAGCAAAAAAAGAGAACAAAAAACAACTAATGAGCCGTGGTAATTACAATTCTACTTCTGCAGCATTTCTACAACTACCTCTGTGGCCGAACGGTTACCGTCCCGGTAACCGGTCGGGAGAGGTATGTGTATGGTCTACATTTATTTCTCTCATGAGTTTGGGTGTAATTTGTGGTTGTCTATGTATGTGTCCATAGTATCCGTGGCACTGGGTTTCCCTAGTGCGGGGCTATGATGTGCTGCATTATTTATTTATTTTATTTAAATTGTTTAAAAGTGAGTTTTAAGATTCTATTTCACATTAATTGTCGTAATACTTTTTTTTCCATTCAGAGAGTAGTGTAACTAATAAAATACATAATGTACATTGTACTCACCGGTTCGTCCTCTTCGGGTTGTTTAGGTTTTTCATCTTTGTCGCCCCCTATTTGGAATGTCACGCCGGAACTAGCTGTAGAAATAATAAAAAAATGTACAGAGTGTTTTAGGTTTCACTAGTCACTTATTGTTACAAAATTTTACTACTTCTGAAATTAAACATTTGATTCAAGTTTTTATAAGAAGTTAAAAAAAATTATAATTCCTCAAACTGTGTAGTTCATGGACTCCTACCTAACGTATTATTTCACCCTGCAAAGGCAACACTACAATCTATCTGTGTGTCACTGCGATTTATTATAATGAATATTACTAGGCTATACAAGTACGACGAAAGATGGCATGTTTCCAAGTCAGCACCGTAATTTAAACCACCGCTGTTTGTATCGTCTGTATAATTGTCCAGTGTTGCCGTTCAAACTCAAAAATGTCAAAATTTATCACCCACCCGAAAATATCGAATATCAAATCTACGCGCTTTCTTTTGCCTTACGCCTAGTAAGGCAAAAGAAAGCACGTAGATTTGATATTCGATTTGATTTGATACTATTTACTGCCAATAAAGAGATCTTAAAATTGACGCTCTTGAAGACTAAACAGTATCTTGATCGAATTTTATTATCTATGGAAGCCACCTCTCTAATGTATTAGATGCGATACTAGGAGAGACGCCCCTAAAAATTAATTAAGAAAATAGAAGATTTTTTATTTCTTACTAATAAGTAAGAATTCATATTGTTTTATTTCTTACTGGACACTTGAGATTAAATTGCAAAGATCTGAGAGGCAATGCCTTTGCGCCCGTCATCCTCTAAACTGCCTCGGTGGCTGAATGACGGCCGCGCAGAGGTCCCAGGTTCGATTCCCAGGCCGGCAGAAATATTTGTATGGCCTACATTTATCTCTACTGAGTTGTGTGTAATTTGTGGTTTTCTAAGTGTGTCCTTGGTACCCGCGACACGGTACTTGCAATTTGACCAGCACCCTTGCCCTTCATGATCTCAGTACAGAGTACTAACAAAACCGACCTCAAAAGGACGTGGAATTACGTCTATTTGCTAAGTTTTATTGATATATCCCCTAGTTCGCCTCTATACAGGACTTGACACTGGAGATAATAAAAATCGGTTCTCACTACTCAAAGTATATTGGGAGAAAAACGCCTTGAATTGGAGAAATAGCAAAATCAACCATTAAAATAATTGCTCCTTGAGTAAAATTTAGGCGCTATTTATAAAAATGAATCTTCATGCGTGAACAGCCACCCTTAGAGGTGGATGATTTTTTTCAAAACGAAATGGGACCACTATGAAAAGTACCCCCTTTCCAACAAAAAAAGAATATGAAAATCGGTTCACAAATACCGGAGTTATCGCGTAACATACATACAAAAAAAAAACATACAGTCGACTTGAGAACCTCCTCCTTTTTTGAAGTCGGTTAAAAACCGGAATGCAGTAATAGTAAATAGGTAAGGAGACAGTACTTCTCTAGACGAACTCGTTTACATGGAACTCCACTAAATTTCTTTCATAAACAGTGTATATTTCGACGCTTTTCATAATGCGTGTCACGTAAAAGCGTGGTAATGCTAGTGTCTAAAATATATTTAAAAAAATACAATAATTCCATATTACAATCGAAATACACTTAATAGGGTAATATGATTGCCACAACTTACTAGACATTACCGTATGTAGTTCTAAGCACCTACGTCTTAATACTTTATTTAAGACAACATTGTTTCCAATAATAAGTGTTACGTGCGCAGGACGCAGTCACAGAATAATGTAAAATCTCATACAACATCCACGTATGAGTTATGCACGATTTCACGAGAAAACTGCTTCCCGGATGAAAGTGATTATTTAACAATTTATCAGAGAATCTGATAATTCAGTGATTAGATAAGGTGAGTAGAGTATTTTCAAATCGTAAATATTCAATCCAATACTTATTTGAACTATATAAAAAAAAAAACAAACGAACAATGCTTTTACGTTGCATGATTAATTTTAACAATATATTTACCATCGGGTTGTCCTTCTATATTTTGTTGTCCTTCTATATTTTGTTGTCCTTCTATACGGCAGCATAAACATGACAGAAATATTAAAGGTCGTAATAAATGAGTTCAAAATTTTAAATATAAGTGGCCAGGAAAAGAGGACGATAAAAGGGTGGGGTGACGATGAAGGAAGTATCATCGTCATAAGCTGACCACTTAAGTTGACTGTCATCCTGATAAGAACAAACACAAGAATAGTGAAGAAAAAGGGAAATTGCGAACAAATTAAAAATTTTAAAAATAAGTGGCTGGGAACCAGAAAAGAGGATGATAAAAAGGTGGGATGACGATGAAGAAGGTCAGCATCGTCACAAGTTTACCACTTACGTTGACTGTCATCCTGGTAAGTACAAACACAAAAATAGTGAAGAAAAAGAGAAATCGCGAACTAATTAAAAGTTTTAAAAATAAGTGGCTAGGAGCTAGAAAAGAGGATGATAAAAAGGTGGGATGACGATGAAGAAGGTCAGCATCGTCACAAGTTTACTACTTACGTTGACTGTCATCCTGGTACAGAGATGCTTGGTGCCAGAGCTGTAGGATCTTGCCGCCGGTGAGAAGTCGAGTGCCTTCAAGATTCCAGGAGAGTGCTGTGATTGGCCCATCCGCGACCAGCTTGCCAGTTTGTACCCATCGATATTCCAAACCCTGGAAAAATCATTCAATTGAAGTTTTGTTCATAAATTAACTTGTACATTACATCTTAATTAAGCAATATCATTGCTGTATTGTTTTCTTTGATAAAATGTCTTTTAAATAACAGTTCAATGACAAGTGATAAATATTCTCTAAAGCGTCGTCCTATTGCCATCGCTCGCGCGATGATGCGGTGCAATGAAACCGGTCGCGCGATAAGAAATCGTGTGCCCTATTTTGAAGCGATGCGATCACACTCGGATTGGCTCTTAACAGAGATGCACAGTTTTTGCTATCAGGCAATATTTCTTTAATCGTAAATAGCATTAAAAAAGAAAATGTGGACCACATAATATACACTATAAAAACTGAAAAAAGCGCGGAGAATTTGGCAATCAGTATTTCGACGTACGAAAAAAAGAAGATTTTTTCTAGTATTAGCGAGCGCCAGTACTGATCAGTATGTTTGATCGGCGATCGTCCGATCAATACGATGTCGATGGTCGTACGACGAAAACTAGACAATTTGATCGCATCGCGTGATCGCACGACGTTCAATAGGACATTCAGTAGAACACAGTATGTTTGAACGCACGGTTGCGCGATTATTTTCGTCAGACGCACGCATCTTAGCGCGAGCGATAACAATAGGACGGCGCCTAACATTTAAAGTAATTTCGTTTTATTTCGTGTTTATATCTGATTGTCATAAGTATTTTATTATTTTATTGCCATTTTTTTATTATTATTATTTTTATTTTATTGCGTATGTTATGTCCTAACTGAAAATCAGTGCTGGGAACTCAATGCGTTTTCCAACTAATACTGAATTGGTGACGCTTTTGTCACTGCAGAGGGAACAACAGAAAGTATTTTAAAACTATTTTTTTGAAAATTTGAAGGTTAATTTCTAATATTTTTTAAATGTTCGGTCGGTTATCCACAAGACTATGTCACATTTCTAGGGTCGGTGGACTAAAGCACATAAGTATGCTTTACATTTACATAAGGGTGCTGGTGAAATTACAGGCGCGTGGGACTTGTCAACTTATGTCTCAAGGTGCTGTCACCTTAATCTTTGCGATTTAAAGCTCTGAGTGGCACCGCAACTGTTATAGACAGGCGCGTAGCTTACCATCAGGCGCATGACCTGTTCGTCTCATGACTTGATATTATAAAAAGAGCTTCATTTTTTAATAATACATATTTATATATTTTTTGTATTGTTTATAATGTTAGGCACCCAGGCATGGGCCAAGGTAACCAACCATTGGAGCCCCAAAAGCGTAAAGCGTCGCAGCAAACCGAGAAACCGATGGCGTGACAAACTGGACGCATACGATAAAGCTTGGGTCCAGTTAGCTCAAGATCGGGAGGCGTGGAGGGATCAGAAGAAGGCCTTTACTCAGCAGTGGGATACATCAGGCTAATTGTAATTGTATGATGTTAGAAGATTTGAAAACAATGAAAAATTTGGAAAAGTCGTTACTAGAATTTATGTTACAAATTAAGGAAATTTGACTTTATGTGCTTTAGTCGGCAAATGTATTAATTTAAATGAACAATGTTGGTTTTTACTCTAGATTTATTATTCTCATTGGTCCATTAAAGTAAAGCAGTAGGTATGTGATATCCAGAAACCTATTTTTCTTATATTTGTTTTTTCAAACACACCAACCTTTAGGACCTTTTCAGGTCCCATGGTCACGGCTGATTGAGATGGTCAGTCATCGACCAGTTATGTCATGCATGTATTTGAAGACCTCCATTGTCGCTTGGCTTACACACCGGTTTTCATTATGTCGCAATCTCTGAGGTAGAAAAACTAAATTTTCGACATTGTCTCGGGTTGTTTCCGATGTCCACAACACAAGTGCTTTAGTTACTTTAACTGCCTCCGTGGCCGAACGGTTACCATGCCGGACTGCCACGTAGAGGTCCCAGGTTCGATTCCCGGGCCGGGAGAAATGTTTGTATGGCTTACATTTATTTCTCTCGTGAGTTTGGGTGTAATTTGTGGTTGTCTATGTGTGTGTCCATGCCACCCGCAACACAGGGTTTCCCTAGTGCGGGGCTATGTTGAGTGTGTGCGTTATTTACTTACTTTGGGATCGGAGCAACGTATGTGATGTTGTCTAATATTTATTTATTTATACGTATATTATACACATATACATAGTTTACAAGCTTGACTGCGAATGCGGTCCTCTTATATTGGCCTTAGGAGGTTATTATTAAGGATGTAACATGATGGTGACTAAACAATAATGTCAAGTGAAACGATTTCTGTAGGTCAGTGTACGCGACATCACATACTAAAATGACAACGATAATGTGCCACAATCAACTGTAGGATCAGCATGAGCACAAAGACAAAAGATAAGGCGAGGTATCAATTTACTATCAAAAATGACGTCACGCTAGTTATCGATACGTGCGCGAGCACATCGGGCACGCTAACGCGTCATAGCGTCATAGTAGGTAGACAATAGAGGAATAGTGGACTCGAGTTTGAATAGATTTAGAAAATTTTACTTCCTACAATGCTGAGTTTTAAGCCCTTTTTGCTGACACGGTACACACTGACGGTACAAAACTAGACAAGCCTTTCTTATCACTATCATTATACGTAGGTCATAAGCTTGTTTGTATTACGCCATGATTCAGCATAGCAGAATAAATGAGTTATTGGCTGAATACTTTGTTCTTACTGGGAAACAAACTCGAGACCTTCTCATAGAGTCCCTGTCATGACTAACAGTCGTAAAACGTTAATACAGACGAGGTTGACATCTTCCACGACACATTATATAAGTTCAAACGGAATGTTACAACTACTTTAAGGGTGGAGTCTTAGAGGTTTCGTTTTGTTTAGTTTTGTTTTGTTTAATAATTTCTTAGTAGTTTTTGATATCTTTTTTCTATACAGTATTTTTTATTATTTATTTTCTTATTAACAGTTCCAGATGGAACTGCCGCTGGAAGATCATTCAGTAGCAGGATGAACAAAAAATTAGATACAGCGGAGCCTTCTGGCACCCCCATGCTGACACTCAGGGGTATGGACTTGGTTGTACAAACTAGATACGATACTGTAGTAGTACCGTAGCTGCGGAAATACCTGAGAATGCGCGGGAATTCTCCGAAAGACGCGCGACCTGTTTTTTGACTCGTATCTAGTTTGTACGAGTACGTTACACAACTGACACTAAGTTCATTATTCTATAGTAATACAAATTACATTACATTAGGCAAATATAGGGCGACGTATTTTTGATTTAGTATTTCATATTTAAGAGCTCGTCCAGGGGAGTACTGCCACCTTACCTACTTTTGCCGCCGAGCATTAATGTGAGCGTTAATACGCTCCAGTTTTGAATGGTTAAGGGTTCTAGCGAAATTGTACATGGGACTTGTCAACTTAGTGGCAGTGGCCCTCAGATCTTTGCGACGTAAAGCTCTGAGTGGCACTGCAACTGCTTTGGACAGTTCACTACCAGGCGCACGACTTGTTCGTCCCGTCACTTAATATAAAAAAGTTCACATTTTGTTGTAGTAGCTCGTTGCAGTCTCGTTTCATAAGTGAGTTATAGTCGTATATAAAAAAAAGACATACGATCATTAGTCCAGAATATAACCTTTCGAAAACCGAATAAGATCGTACATCTTAACCTAAAATCATTCATATTCATAACACTATCTGGTGTACGCGACTTCGTCTGCGTAGAATAAGTACTTCAAGGAGCTACTGTACTATACTAATTTTCATAGATTTATTGGTTCTCCATACAGACTTTCATCCTCTATTTCACCCCCTTCAAGATTTATGTTTCTGACAAAAAGTAGCCTATATATATTATATAGCCTTGGAGAAGTCCAAGGTCCAGTCTATGTGTATACCAAAATTCAACAATATTGGTTCAGCGGTTTAGGCGTGAAAACATAACAAATAGAGTTACTTTCGAATTGCAGTTTGAACTCGCTCTCGCGTTCGAAAACTAATTAGTTTGGATTATATAGCATTGACCAAACATGACAGAGTTGCAATCGAACGAATTTCAATTTGTAGACCATTTGACATTATCGCACTACTTTTTTTTTTATTAGTTAACACATACAATATTTATATATACATACAATATTAATATATTGTATTAATAAATACAATAGTGTATTAACTCAAAAAGTGTATTTTTCCAGAATCGATGATAAACGAATTACACACTTCCCGGGAAAATTAAAAAAAAATTATGTATAGGTTAAAGTTTTTTTTACAGACCTAATCAATTTTTTATTTATTAAATATATTTGAAAATAAAAGGGGAAAAATAATTTCATATTTTGCATAAGGACTGTTTTGTCCAGAACTAGCTCACAAAAAGTTTGACTCATATTGAGTTAAGCGGAGGTCTTTTAATTGTTTCTTACTATATTTCAACGACGGTTTTATTGATGTGTAGAGAATCAAATTCTAAGTTCAACGATAGTATATTCTAGAATTTTACATATTTGGAATTGCAACACTATTGTAATGGCAGTGCGATATGATGAGTTCTGTGACATTTACATTTTTTACGTTCCACGCATACTATTTGGAACAAATCTTTCAACCAGGTTAAAAAATTAATTATTTATATATATAATTAAATTAAAAAAATAAATAGTAAATTTGTCATAATGTGCCAAAATACAAACAATATTAGATGCAGTTGCAATTTTAAATTATATTATATTAAGCAGAAAGAAAACGAAATGATAAAGATAAAAAAATAATTATAATAATAATAATAATAATAATAACGCACACACTCAACATAGCCCCGCACTAGGGAAACCCTGTGTCGCGGGTGCCATGGACACACATAGACAACCACAAATTACACCCAAACTCACGAGAGAAATAAATGTAGGCCATACAAATATTTCTCCCGGCCCGGGAATCGAACCTGGGACCTCTGCGTGGCAGTCCGGCATGGTAACCGTTCGGCCACAGAGGCAGTTAAATTACCGCA